AATTTCCGTTCAAGAAATTTGAATCATTCGGACATTAACAAATAACCACATGTCAAACATGAAAAATTGAAAATATTATTTCCTTAGCAAAGAACATTTGTATGATTTTGTTTTAAATTCAGTCAATTGATATATGTCAAATAATTTTAAAAGTTTTGTACTTTCTTTTAAGAGGTTTAATATATCGCAACCCGGAACGAACAGTGTCCTAACTCTAAAATGCAGCATTTGAGAAAAATCAACTTAAAGAATGCTATAAACTTATTCTGAATTAGACACATAACTGACTCAATTATCCTCAGCTGCATAAATTGCGTGTTAGAGATGTTACACTTCTTGAGCTTCATACATATTTTTGGCACTTCTAACATAATTGTTTATTGACATAATTTCAAAATTGATGTTTTTTTACTTCAGTCACTTTTCTTGCCGGGGTGCGATACATTTGCAATAAAATTAAGTGCATAATTTTCTTAAAACATAAAATACCTTTAATAATTTTTAGTTAATTTAAATTGTCAATTTCTTTTAGTTAATACATTTTCGTTTAATGTTTTCTTGTAACTATTACACCAAATTCTTATTTTCAGTTCATTCAATAAATAACGCATATATTTTTTTAAGAAATTTGTTTTTATTTCCATCTTATATTAAAACGCTTAACATTTGATGAAGGAAGAAATGCATTTTTATGAAAAGGAGATCAACAAAACAAATATTACAGAGAAACATGTCCAAAAAACACATTCACTACACTTATTACAATATGAAAAAGAATATATGGTTCAGGGCTGCTCGGCTACAGTACACAACTTATAAATAAATTAGTGCAATATGAATCTTTATCTGAGGACATATTTAAATGATGAGCACCTTCTATAGCAAAGACCTATACTGTATATTAATAAAATATTCGTTATACTCTATAAGTGTGTTGAACATATTATCATTTAAACATTTATACCAGTTTATCCATTACTAGAAACGAATACGACAATTGTAATGGCATAATTTTTAGAACTTCATATTGTGTTATAATCTACATATATCTTTTTTGCAAATGTTAACATTAATTTAAAGATGGCTTCTTGAGTGCAGATAAATATTTAACAACTTATAAAAAAGTTTTAACAAAAAATTAAGATTTAATTCCTATAGATAAAAATATTTTTTGAAATATGTTTTCAACATTTATGTATTAATGTATAAAAATGTGTGTTAAAAGAGTTGTGCATTGTCATATCGTAACTTTTAGGCTAAATAAAAACATACTAATATTACTTTTTTTACGAAAATTGATCTTAACACATATGCAACGTAAACGAAGTGCAGTTAGAAAATTATATTCTATAGCTAATATCGCTATAATTTTTTTTTACTTAAATGCATAAACTCACTAAAATATTTCAAATCTAATCGCACATATTTTTATTCGGGAAATTTACAATTGAGGGAGTGATTAGGATTCCATTTCATAAATAAAATACTAAAAAATAAAGCAAATAAATTTACAAATCTTACAAATTTCAGGAGACCTTTAGAAATTCAAATTTAGAATAATTGTCAAATTAAAAAGAATGAAATTTAGTATGTTTCATGAATATTTAGAAGATTATAGGGATTTATATATGAAATAGCTTGAGAATTAAAAATTCTCAAAAATTTAAAATCTCTCAAATTAATTATTAAAAATCAAATTAGGTTCCCCTAATAAAAAGCAATGAATGATTAAATTTCCAATAATTAAATAAGATTATTATTAAATTTTTATTTTTAAAATAATGGAAATCAATAAAATTAACACAATTCATGGTTGAAAATTCATTTGCTATCAAATTTAAATTATTAATCGAAAATTTCTATAACATGTTCTTATATTTTACTTCTAGTATATTGTTAACGAGTTCATAATACTATTTACTGACAAAATTTTAAATAGTCTTTATGTTTATAATGCATTTAGACAAAATAAATTTTAAAACCCTGATTTTTCTTAAGTAAATTTAGTTTACGTTTACTTAAACACTTAAGTAACTTACCTAAAGATTAAGTTAAGTAACTTAGATTGCTTAGGTAAACATATCTTATCTTTACTCTTAGCTTTCAATTGAGATTAATTTAGATATTAATAACACAAAGCTTTCAAATGATTTTTTGTTTATTTAAATGTTTAATTTCTTAGACTGTTTGAGTTAAGGTAGCAATTATCTTACAACATCTTTCTTATGGTATCAGCATTTCGTTCAAGCGTACAATCGACCTTCAACAACTTCAACCCTACAATCGATTTTATTTCTCACTCCAAAAGACAAAAGTTTGTTTCTGTTCTGTCAGTCTGGATTTAACCCAAGAAAGGGTTGTATAAAAAAGCATTGTTCATGTACGATACATTTGCATAATCTTCCTAAGTTGAACTTAACCTAGAAGATTCAAATTACATGATTCATTGAGGCTCTTACCAAATGATCATTAAAGTCTCATAAATTATATAGAACTAGAAGAAATGTTGGAAGTGTTTTAATAAAGATTTACTGCTTTAAATTTATAATATCCAGACAAAATAACAAATTTCGAATTATTTAAATATTTTTCTTTTATTTCACGCGTGGTACAAAAATTTGTCTTTGATATTATTCCTCCATTTTGAATTTTCTTTATTTCATAAACTTTAATCATTTATAATCCCTTTTTAAATTTATAAATTAGAAATTTTTTGTTCAGTTTTATAAAGAGCGAATGCGAATATTACCACTCTCAATTGATGTAAAAGCAAACTTTTTACTTAAAGGCAAGTGTGTAACAGATTATATTCCATGTCACCACAATTGAGCATCAACATCAATTTTTAACCTTTCTCTTTTTTTCTTTTCTAGAGGTTAAAATAAATTTTAATGCTCAGTTATGGGGTATTAAATTATCAATAGTTATACACTTGCATTGAAATAAGAAGTTAGTTGTTACATTTATTGAAAATTGAAATGTCTGCATTCACTCTTTAAAAAAAGTGAATAAGAATTAACTTATTTATGTAAATAAAAAGGAATTAGGAATGATTAAAAATAATTAATTTTGTTAAATAAAGAAAGTTAGGAAAAGTCAGTTAATGGCTATGAAAACCTCACAGTAACCATATCCCCATATTACAATGGTAAAAAAAATTGGCATCAATCGTCAAACTTTGCGAACGCATTGTTCAGATCAACCATTTTCCAACTCAAGTTTTTATTTAATACATTTTTCCAACATTTCAAAATCCCTCTAAACAATCTTTAAATTGTACAGGCATATCATTATATTTATTCAATGAGTGCCTGTAGCTTCGCCCCTGCTTATTAACCAGAGAGAAATACGAAAAAAGCAAGCGGGAATATCAGAATTGAGATCAAATATCTAAATAACTACACATATGGTATACTTACTATTCTGGGAAATAACACGAAATATGGTTGAAATTGTATGATTGATTTTCTTAAGAAATGAAATTATTTTTTTTATTTTATCAATATAGGTCTTTTTAAGTTTGCTACTACAAATAATTTTTAAACGTTAGCCCGTTCACGAAGATTTGAGAAATAATATAATTTAACCAAGTGAACTGCTAATTTTGTCACGCATTCACCACTCCACTGCAATAACTGTTGTTTATTTCCTAATTTGAAAATAAATTCTATCAAAAAGCTAACATGTGGACGATGTAAGTAACGTGATTGATGAGTATATAGTCTTATTACTTTAGCTATTTACAATTTATACACATTCCATATATTTTTAAAAAAGTTTTAAAGCTTTTTTTTATAATTTTTGATAACCATATATAATATATTTTTAATGCAAGCAATAAAGAAAATGATTTAAATCATTTCCCATTTTTTTAATACAATAATATTGTAACAGCTTGGGAAAGTATTTTTCAAAACAAAAGAAATGAAGACAAAGTGTGTATGAATAACACTCAAAAAATGTCATACTCATATCGTTTAAATTTATCTGTACATCTGTATTTCATTATTTCATCAATATAAATTCAATGTTATTTCTGTTCAAGATTTTTCTTATATTGAATGCTGATAGAGCATTACACAAATGTAAGGTGGGGCAAATAATGGGGGGAAAGGGTATTATGGGCTTTACAACAATATGGGAAACAAATGCAAATATTATATGGGATCAGTTTTCAACATATATGCAATAGAACTGACGTCCACATGATTTGAAGGCTTATTTTTTGTTTAATTTTAGAAAGAGTTATGGCTTTACAAGATGCCCATTAATTGAAAAAAAGTTTTCTTGCTACTTCTTTGCGAAAATATACTTTAGAATAATTTTACGAGTAAAACACAATAAATAAAAATGTGACATATTGAACATATGTTAAGTACAGAATATGTAAAATGCACATAAAAAGAAGTTTAGTATAAACAGTAAATAAAATATAATTTTCAGAAAGTAGCGCTAAAATGCAAAGTAAACAAATTAAAATATATTTCAAATAACAAATAAATATAGCAAATGCATAAATGTATTTGCATAAAACAAACGTAAAACAGTTATAATAATAATAATATATCAAACAAATATATACATAATACACTACCTTTGATGTTTGAAATAATTTGGATAATGATTTGATGATTTAAATTATACTGTTATTTTTTTTAAAAAAAAAACAGAAAATTAATTGGTGTTTATATTTATTACATATTCCATTTTATTTTTATTTGAGAAAAACTAAATTAGGAATCTACTTAAGTAAAACTAATATAATAATTGTTTAGATTGAAATTTAAAACACATATATTGTAACTAAACACACCAGGTATGCACAAATAGCATTAAAATAATTGAAACGCAAAAATTAATAGTTATTGTTATTAGAAATTAACAAAATTAAAAATTTTGGCAGAAAGAATATCTCTGCAGAAAAATCATAAATATAAAACTGTAAAAAAGAAATGGAATATAATAAAATGGGTAACATATAATTAATAAAAAAGTTAAATACATAGTTGATGAATAAATACATAAAATACAAAACGCTAAAATTAAAAATGTGTATTTATTGTTCGTAATAATATGTATCTTATTAAAGACAAATTCACTTTTAACAAATGTCTGAATAGTCTTACTTTTTTCCATAATTAAGCTTATTTACTGGTAAAGGAACAAAATTAATATTTATTGTATGCAGAAATAAACTACTCTATAATGAATGTAAAATTATTTGTAAGATTAGTATTTAGTTCTTTTTTTATAACTGAACCTATTTATCAGTTAAGGAACAAAATCTACGTTTATTGTATATTTAAAAAAATTACCTTTTAATAACAGAAACAATTTAGATAAATATTTGCGAAAATAAAGATCAAATCTCACTTTTATTTTGTAATTGAAATAATTTATTGGAAAATAGATAAAATTCATGTATCATGTCTAAGTAGAAATAAATTCCTTATTTATAACAAATCTCCTAAGACAAATATTTATGGAAAAAAACAATAATAATAGTGTCATTTTCTTAAGTAATTAATTTCAGTTATCGGTAAAGGAACAAAATGTAACGGGCACCCTGTAAAAGGGGGTTCTGGAAAAGGGTAAAGTGTGATATGTGCGAAAAGAGTCTCTGTGTAGTGTTGTCTTGTTGTGCTTTTGGTGGAATGCAAGGGCAAAATAAATATTCGGTTAAGGAGCGTAAAGCGTCAGCGCCTGAACTATCTTCGGATCATGTTTAGAGCCTTCTTTGAATTCTTCTAGAGAAAGCTGGTTATCATGATTCTGCAAATAAACAATAAGAGTTAACTAAATAAATCCACAAGTATCGGTTAAAATATTACTTAATTTGACATTTACAACACCTAATTAAATTTGCGAATTCTATATCTGAGTTATGCAGAATACAAAAAGAAGCCATATATTTAATTCAAAAAAATTGGTTAATAATTTACAAAACTTAACATTTACAAGGCTCGTCTGTTAAATTTTTATAGTATTTAAATATATAATTTAACAGAATTCGCTTACTAATTACACATTTTAAGATTTTCAATACCCCATAAAATATGTGAATTTAATATCTCAATAAGTATTGTGCGTTTCTGATATACACAGTGGTCTTAGGCGTAACTATATTATAAATTTACAAACATTGATAAATAAATTACACAATTTAACGTTTATGGAACTTGATTGAGAAAGTGATTTTAACATCTGAGTCACAGTATTTTTTGTTATAAGTGAAAGTTCAAGTTATATAATCTCTGAAGACTTGGTTTATAAACTTCACATCCAGCACATGATAACAATTTGAATTTAATATCTGTGTCCATAAAATTAATTTCATTAACTTATTTTATTATAAACTCACAAAAATTGATAAAATAAATTACGCAAATTAATAATTACTTCATAAGATGTTTATTGATATGAAAGTTCGCAGCGTTAGTTTACTATCAGTAAAAATTAAATATAATTTAATTTATATGTTGTTAACTGCGTTTAAATATTATAAACTAAACAATATAAGGTTTAAAACACCCGATAAAGTAATTGAATTGAATATCTGACCCTGCAATGTTAGGCTGTGATACAGATTGTATGTTGTAAAGACCATGGTAATTGTCAAAATTTTAGTAGGTAATTTTTTTAAGCCTTGCTAAGACAATATATGAATATAATATTTTTCAAAATGTTATTGAATGACGCTGAAATTTGCCGATACCTACGTGTTAGATTCTGCAGGGTTATTCATAATTCCCTCCGCCTGTAAGCGCCATTTTTCTTTACTACAACTGACTTCAGTGATACATGTTACTTCCATTTACCGGCAACAGCTTAAATTAAAACTTGAATACTTTCGGAATAATTTCATATGCTCTTTTTCGCCATATTCGTCTTTTTTGTTTTTACTATAACGCTTCGAAATCCTGGAGGGAATTATGAATAACCCTGTATATGTAGTTAAGGGGCAAAAACGCAAAAATCTACAAAACTAAGGTTAACTTATTAGGTCACCGTAAATCACAAAAATGATTCACCAGTTTGAAACGCCAATTAAAGAGAAACGGAAAAAGTTACATATGTGTTTTGCTTTTGTTATATTCAGCAAACTACACTGTAAAAAAATTCAGAAACTAATTTTTACTCGAAATTCTTTTTTACGAAAATCTCACAAGGGAAACTAGGGAAGTGTGACTCGCCAATTTTGAAATAAGCTAGTGGGATGTATGCCTTATGAGGAATAATTTTAGGGGGCAACATTCGTTTCGGCCCATAGAAGGTCCTGTGAGAGATAAAAAATAATTCAATATATAGAAAAATCGGTATTTTATTACTTCAATGCAGACTATTAGTTATTGTAATTGTCTCATAATCCAATTAATTACAAATTAATTGGGTAATTTTTTATTTTCCTAATTAATAAATTATTCAGAAAATTAATTAATCATTAATTAATTATCAATTAATTATTAATTGACTTGCAATTACATGCTCCAATTAATTTGGAAAGTTTTTTGAAAAAAAAAAATTTAAAAAATTTGATGTCAATTTTTTTTTAAAAATCAACCTAGCAGGTTTTTCTGATAAACTGTAGATATATGAAATTTTCGAATTCAATTTTGACAATAAATATGCATTATATAGCACGTGAAAGTACCACAAAATTAATTGGATTTTGAGACAATTACAATAACTAATAGTCTGCATTGAAGCAATAAAATACTGATTTTTCTATATGTTGAAATATTTTTTATCTCTCACAGGACCTTCTATGGGCCGAAACGAATGTTTCCCCCTAAAATTATTCCTCATAAGGCATACATCCTAGTAGTTTATTTCAAAATTGGCGAGTCACACTTCCCTAGTTTCCCTTGTCAGTTAACGTCATTTAATATCTCTTATTTTCAAAAGTAAGAATCTGAATCGCATTGGTTTGGATTCAAATTGCAAAAAAATTGCAAGTAATAAAAATTAACAAATTAAAGCGTTTAATGAAGCTCAAAGTTTCATACTGTAAGAAATGTCATATCAAATTACGGCACAAATTACCGGCATTTTGGCTGCATCATCCGTGAAACCCATTTTACAGAAAAATCGATTTTTACCGTAAAATATTACACCGAAAGTTTTACAATAATTATTATTTATTTTGAGTGATTCAGTGCTTTTACGATACTTATTATTGTTAAAATCACGGTACATTTTTCGTTCCGTAAAAATTAATTATACGGTCAAAAGTGCTGACATTCTAAGTGCCGGTACTGTTCAACGTAATTTGATTCCAAATTTTTTACAATGTTCATAGTGTTATATTTAAAAACATAATCAAGTAACCTTAATTAATCAAAATATGTGATAAAAATATTACTTTGTCCAATTGCTCAAAGATCCTATCAACTCGTTTTTTCGGATCATCTTCAGATTCTTCAACTTTGGCTTGATTACCCTGAAAGATACAATAATGTTAAAGACTTTTTTACATTTTTTATGATATTTCAGTTTTAAGTAAATTTTAAATACTAAGTAGAAGTAATTTCTTAAATTGTTTAGATTTTTTACATTAAAGATTGGGTAAGTATTAATCCTTTGGATTTCAGGAATATTTAGTACTTAAAAATATGTGAAATATAAAATATTTCATAGCCATATCGATTCGTGTTTTAGTAAAAACTAAGGCTTTTTTTTAGTTTATTTAAGTTTATCACTTTCACCACATTTTTTCAAAACATTTTATGTTTAGAGTTTCTGATTTTTTTTTAATTAAAAGTTGTTCTGAATCAAATTCACTCATCACATTTATAAAATGAATGCTAGTTCCATAACTTTTTTTAAGTCTCGATTGTAATAAAAATGCGAAAAGTTAAATACAACTATTCCACTTTCGTAATTGAAACGAAACATTTAAAAAAAAACATAAATTTTTTTGCTTGCAAGTTAAGCACTCTCAGATTCGATGTTGATCTGAAAAATTTGTTAACTATAGTGCCTATTTAAAAAATATATGTTAAAGTCTCCGTCTGGGGAAAAATCTGCTATTTTGACGAAAATTTCATTTGTTTTCATTATCTCTATTTTAACCTTAGTTCATTAGTTTTCCAAACCCTTTACATGTTTTATCTCTGATTTTTAGAAACGAAGTTATAGTTTTTTTTATGCTAATTGACTAAAACCGAAACAGGAATTAAACTATCAAAAACGAAGGTTTATTTGAATAAATTATATTTTTAAAACAAATAAAATTCATTTTTAGAAAATAATTTTATAATTATTACTTTTTATCAAAATTTTCTTACATTTCAGAATTTTTTTACATTATAAAAACATTTTCTGAAGAGCGCTGATTTTGAAAAAATCTTTTTACGCTAACACGCATTACAAAGTGAAGTTATACATAACGAAATGGACGATTACCTGGGTTTTAATCTACTTGATTGTAATCTATGACTGAATTGTAAAATAACCATCTAAACTTGTAAGAAATAGTTACTTGAACAGTGACTAAATAAGAAGAAATAAAAAAATACTAATTTTACTGTTTGATGAAACGTATAACAGTTCAATTAGGGAACGGTTCTTACTACTCTTTAATAGGCTTTTTTCTTCTTCTTTTTTTTTAACGATAAAATTGATATTTTCGCAACACGTAATCTCTCTCTCTCTCTCTCTCTCTTTGCTACTTCTGACAGACATCTACTCGAGCGCGAGTTTACGAAATAAAGAAACTAAGATCTTGTTTCGAAAACGTAAGTTTTCAACAAAAATAAATAGCCAATATTTAAAACAAAAAAAAACAGTCAAAAGTGAACAGAATGAGAAAAAAAAAGTAAAAAAGACTTAACACGAAAAAGAACATAAATTTGCAATAACTTCCGAAAAAATATAAATTTGAAACGAAATTTGCAGAAATAAAAATGGCTTTTTTAGCACATGAGATAGATGACATTTTTTCTCTGGTTGAGCAGTTAATAATTCTCGAACTAATTATCCAATCTTAAACTACTGGTATCCCTTCGTAATTTCTTGTTTCGAAATCTTAGACATTTTGTCCAGAAAAGAAAAATATTGTGTAATGCAAAAAAAAGGAAAATTTCGCAAAAAAGGATTTAAAATTGCAATAATTTTCTAACAAGCTGTAATTTCAAATAACTAAACTCTTGTGCTAAGTTAAATTATTGTATTTCATTATATTGCCTGTATTTTTTCTACGCTCCTTTGTAGTCTCAAGTTTCTAAATTTGATAGCTTTTGCACAATAAAACAAAATATAAGTTAAATTAAGCACCCAAACCAGAGTAGTCGGTGGTCTGTCAGCTTTTTGTTTTAATATTGAGAAAAAAAAATTATGCCAATTATTCAGAATCATTTTTTTTCTTCTTTTATACAAAGCCACGTTCATTAATATTATTTTATATTTTTACCCCAAAGGACAAAAATATTTTCATACCAGCATTTGATATATGGCATCGACGATGCTATACATCTCTTCACGGGTAATGTAACCATCGTTATCAACATCGTAGAGTTTAAAAGCCCCTGAAAAATATCAAAATAATGTCAAAAAGTTTATATTTATGATTAAAATACAAATGAAAATTCCAATGGAATGGAAAAAATACAATGCAGTTTTCTTGCAATTGGTTTGGCCCACCAACTCACAGAAAGTTATCTAACTGAAACTTCATCTCGTGATTACCATACTATACACTCCAGATATGAAACGGATTCTAAATTAAACGCAGTGGCGTGACAGCCCATGGAGGGCCTAGGCCTACTGTGTCCGTCTCAGTTTTCTTGATCTTGGACTCTGGGGTGCAGGAGGAGATGTTCCAGTTAGGTGGTCAGCCGAACGCTGAACATCCAGTGTTTAGTTCCCAAACATGCTTGGTACTCATTTATCTGCCCACTGAAGGGATGAAAGGCTGAGTCAACCTTGCCCGGCCCGAAGATCGAACCCAGGGAGATCTTCGGGCCGGGAGGAAGCTTAAAAAAAAAGGTTTATGAAATTTTATAAAAAATTTAAGTCCTAAACGGGCTCTGGTGAACTTAAATTCTTTATAAAATTTTCATAAACTTTGTTTTTACTTTTTTACTACTTTTAAACTAGCATTTGCTTTAGTTATCCAGCATAAAATAAGATATTTTATAAGGTATTACAATTAATCGTACTAAAATTTAAAAACATCTGCCACTTTTGTTCGGTTCTTTTGCTTTGTGATGACAGCGCTAATTGTCAAATGACTTTTATTCAGCTTGAGGTTTGACTTAATTTTTAGTATTTTGTTTTAGTAACTTCGAGTTTTAGTTGGTTTGATTTTTATCTTTGTTTTTTCTTTCACATGTTACCGATAGAAAGGGTTTTACTTTGATATTTCCCTTATTTAGACCACAAAATGTATTCTTTTTCCAATGTATATCTCGGACTCGGGTTGAGATAGGTTCTAGGAAACCAATGTATCTTGGGGTCGAGTGGGCTTGGACCTCAAAAAGCCAGTCAGAACTCATCTCTCATTCACGCCCCACGAAACATTTTATTCATATTCAATCCCATCATCTCTGTCTTATTGGCTTCTCCTCCTCGTTAAAAGAAATTAAAATATCATCGAATATTTTTTGTTGTATTATTAAAATCTATTGCACAGTGTACTCGATAACATAATATGTGAAACATACCAATGTATGAAACCAGTGGCAAAGTGAGTGGCAAAGTGACAATAGGCTAACATATTGATAAATAGTAAATATAAATAATATTTAATAGTTTAAAAAGTTCGCTTTCCATTTTTACATGAATGGAATACAACTGATTTGCATAAAGTATTCATTTACAAATGGAGCATCATATATATATATATATATATGTATTCCAAGTTCAAAACGAAGAATAAAACAAAGAAA